CCTTATACTACTTTGACGAGTCTAACTCGAGATCACAGTTCAAGCAGATGACTATCACAAGTAAAAATTGAAGTAAAACGTGCTAAATTTATGGTCCGGATTTTGTCTGGTTAAATGGCAGTTTAAAGATGTCAACGTTTCTAGGCTCAAAGACACCCGCAGCAGCCACCAATACGCGTGAAGCAATAGGAAAACCGCGAATGGAAGACCGCGCCGGTAGTTACATCGTAATATCCAGTTACAAACGACTGGTAGGCTGCGGGGGGCTACGCAATTACCCTTGAAAAATGTGTACGGCCGCAGAACAAACACGGTATTGCGAAACATCCGCGAACAACGGAGAGCTCGTCGCCGCGCCCTTCATAAAACTGCGTCACGTAATTACGCGCGACTATGAACTCCGGTAAAAGTCCGTTTCCCGGCGCAATTCCGACGGAATGAATGCACTGGGCGTATCGGTGGCGGGCGCCGCTTTCATAAATTCCACCTATACTCGTTTTCTGAGTGTCGCGCCTCGGTCATTTTCACGCTCCAATCTTCCCCAGCCAGCATTTGTTATTTTAATTGCGCAGGCCGCACCGCGAGGCGCGCCGGTTCGCGCAACGTTTTCGGCTGGATTCGAATAAGTTGCCGAATTGGATCGCGTTGCCCCGTGTTATCGCTTGAATAAGGGAAATTGGCCGGTCGGATTAAAATGGCGGCTCACCGATTCGCAGCTAGCGCCAGCGAACTGGAGATCTTTATCGCTTCCATTCTCCCGACGCGACGCGATCTTCGACCGGACTCGCGCCGCTACCGAATGAAATTCTCGGATTATTAAAAGGGAACGAGTGACAGTCGCGACTGTATCATCTGCTTCGAATGGCACAATACTCCGCTTACTCTAATCCCGGCTCTGTACAGCGTGCGCTCGTTAGAACCGGGCTCTGATCGATAAAACGGTCGAACCTCGTCCATTCGCTGGCCTGGAAATCACTGCGAATGAGATTTCGCGAGGCGCGGACCGTGTTCCAGAGACTTTTAATTACTACCCGTGGATCTGGTTTTTGTCCGTTTCACTTGCTGATTATGCAGGTCGTCGTTGACGCTTTTCGACGCTGGATCCTTTATCCAAACACTAGCTATCGTTTCCGAACAGTGCTCGAGCTCTTGTCGGTGCGTATTTTGGAACGAATGAAACTGTTCAAACGGAGATTTCCATTTTACTCCGTGGCGGTAGTTCCAGCTGTCCGCCAACAGATGGCCAACGCGCTCTAGACCTTTCTCACTGCTAGCCAGTTTCGCATCAATTTCTATATAAGATTCGTTAAATGTTCCCCTCCCATCCCGGTAGCGAAGGCATGAATCAACCAGATTGCCTGACGACAGACGAGTCAAATCCTCTGGCGGACTTCGAACAAAACGCCGCTCCGCTTCTTTCTCCTCGACCACAAATAATCGTTCTTAGTTTTACGGATCTTCTTAATTATTAGTACCAAAAAAAAACTTGTGGCGGAGCAGGCTATATAAAATGCTGCTTCATCACGCCGTCAAAATTCTAAACGTCTCGTTGTCAATTGTCTCTAGGTGATATATGAAACTTGACTTCAATCTTGACTTCGATCACATCATGTGCCATGCATTGGCAAGAATTTCGAATTACTGGAGCTTGGTGAGGTGGTAATTCGTGAGTAGGCTCGCCGTCGGACATTATTTCCACATCTGCAGATGCAATTGGCGGCGGCTCCACGTCCATCATTTCTAATTCTTCAATCATTTCTACATCCGTGGATGTGTACAAATCACAATCCACATCCATTCTTTCGATGTCCATGTTACGTGTATTCAGACTTGTCATATTCTGACTCTGGAACCCAAGCCAAGCCTTCTCTGCACTGTTCTCTACACTTCTCCCAATGCGCTGCTTTTCTGCCTTCTTAATAAAGTACTCTCTTATAGAGGAGATGAATAGTAGTAGCAAATTCTGTAACCAGCCCTGTACTCTGTAGTAGTTCTCTACCTCTTAGTGTACTATATTAGAAGTGAAATAATACGCGCAGCTAAACCAATCTTAACTTTGTTCAGACGGCCTAATGAAACCTGTCATACGGCCGCGTAATCCCAAAGCGCTGCTTTTCTGCCTTCTTAATAAAGTACTCTCTTATAGAGGAGATGAAATAGCGCAACTTAGCCAGCGTTGGTGGCCGCGCTGCCGACCGTCCACTGCAGCCGATAACGTAGTAGAGATAGCTGAGCCGTTGTAGGGATCGGCAATCTTGTCGAGAAACCTGTCATACACCGCGCAGTCCCAAAGCGCTGCTTTCTGTCTTCTTAATAAAGTACTCTCTTATACAGGAGATGAATAGTACGAGCAAATTCTGTAACCAGCCCTGTACTCTGTAGTTCTCTACCTCTTAGTGTACTATATTAGAAGTGAAATAATACGCGCAGCTAAACCAATCTTAACTTTGTTCAGACGGCCTAATGAAACCTGTCATACGGCCGCGCAGTCCCAAAGCGCTGCTTTTCTGCCTTCTTAATACAGTACTCTCCTATATAGGAAATGAAGTAGTCAGCGCAACTTAGGGCAGCGTTAGTGGCCGCGCTGCAGACCGTCTACTGCAGCCGATGACGTAGTAGAGACAGCTGAGCCGTGGTAGGGATCGGCAATCTTGTCGAGAAACCTGTCATACGGACGTGCCGTCCCAGAGCGCTGCTTTTCTCTCTTCTTAATACAGTACTCTCCTATATAGGAAATGAAGCAGCGCAACTTAGCCAGCGTTGGCGGCCGCGCTGCCGACCGTCCACTGTAGCCGATGACGTAGTAGATGCTGCTGAGCCGTGGTAGGGATTGGCAATCTTATCGAGAAACCTGTCATACGGACGTGCCGTCCCAGCGCGCTGCTTTTCTCTCTTCTTAATACAGTACTCTCCTACGTAGGAAATGAAATAGTCAGCGCAACTTCGCCATCGTTGGCGGCCGCGCTGCCGACCGTCCACTGCAGCCGATGATGTAGTATGTATGACGTAGCAGATGCGTTACGTATATAGAGTGCTAATGAGAATGACAAAACAACGATATTATCGACTGTGCGCAATCAACGAATAGAAGGAGAAAGGAAATGAATATCTGTTGGAGAGAGCGCTTCCGGAGTGTTCTCACACTTTACTGCCCAGGTGGCGGTGTCTCTGCTGCCGAGGCTTGGGGGCTCAGGGGCCACGAGCCCCCTTTTGTTTTTTCTCTTTCTCTCAGCTCCTGACCGTCGAAGTGACTAGACGTTTATCAATATCGAAAGACAAAGCAGAGAACGGCAATCATAAAGAAAACAGATTACATGAAGCAGATGCGTTTCTCAGAATTAGGACCTTTACTTATGTAAATAGTCTATATAATGTTAAATATATAGTCTTAATACGTTAATAACTTAAGTGTTTTACTGCCCAACCTCAGCTATCCTCTTACAGTATCTTAACTAATCTACGTTCGTATTCCTTTCAGAGTTTGGCGCGAATCGGGTATTTCTCGTATGAAAGTTTTTTACTTATAATACGAAGATTTTTAAGTTTCTTGAAATCTTTCTTTACGCATATTGAAGCTTAATGTGTATTAATAACAAACTTATAAAAAGAAATTTTTATTCTGAGTTCCAACTATTGGTTGTTCGCTGTCAACTTCGAACAGATCCGATTCATCGCGATCTAACATATAGTCAGTTAACAGTTTCCGATAAACGTTCCCCAGCCGTTCTTATGGAACTTCGATTTTCTCTGGACTAATGTATTTTGAAATCGTCCACGATATATTTGCTCGGTTAGAGCCGATAAACCCCGAGAAATCGGTGATTTAATTTGAATCGACGTGATTTTGATTATGTGATCTTAAATATATGTAGAAATGTAACCAATACACGGTACAACCGGTGAATATCGATCGCCGGTTGCGACATTACAATTGAAAACAGCTCAGGAACGGCCTGAGAGGAACCGCGGAATTACTCGGTCGACCGCGGCAGTAGATCTACCAATAATCCCTGAAAGTCACTTCCGTGGAATTAAATTCGATCCCAATAATTATGCAAACTACCTCTACGAATCTGATTCCCGGCTTAATATTCGATTTAAAAACGCATAAAAATTCCCGCGGCATACATTTTCCGACCCAGAAAAATTGATATTTAAATTGGAACAACGAGAAGTCGTGGTAGAGAGATCAAGATATGAATGTTCCATGACGAATTTTTAATTGCATAAGATGTAGCTTCTGGCTATATGTTTTTCAAACTGAAGCTTCATGTTCATTTCACTGTATAGAAAATCAATTCCCTAACGAAAGGCTGAGGAGAAATAGATTTCTTCGTACGACAGAAGTTGGATTGTAAGGTGACACACGTGTCATAGTCACAAAAGTAAGTCTCAAAGTAAATCATGATCCTTACAATGTTTATAATATCTCGATAAGAGTTGTATAATATACTTATTATAATTAGTAAAATATTTTATAGTAAGTGTTCAAATACTTTCGCGAGTCACTGTATATTAAAGTATAAAACTAAAGCAAAATGAACAAGAATGACGTGTTTATTCGTTAAAATGAATAGACCATTCAACAAATAACTATTCCAATAGGTTTCAGGATGACGAGTATACTCGTCAAACACGATAAACCGGTTTAAAGCGAATTTAACTACGTCTTATCGTAATGAAACTTTCTCACTTTTCACGCGGAACTTTGTGCATACATTTCATAATTGCCTTTCAATTTTTCATGCACTTTTATCTGTGGTAGTTATAACCATTAACGATTGAACAAACAACGTGTTCAGTATAATCCACGTTTCAATCTCCATCTCAGCGAAATAATTTACTGGCCGTGTTCGGACGCGCGTTTGCCAGCATCGCGTTGCGATCCTGTTGTCGAAATCCCTATCCGTGGAACGGTTAAAGCGATTTCGAACGCGTCATAACGCGTAGACCGAGCGTGAGCGTAATAAATCCATGGAGGCTGGTCCTATTGATTTCAGATAATGGGCAAGTGGTACGTGGTGGAAGTGTTGCAGCACAAAGTCGATCCGCAGAAGCCCGTGAGCGATCTGTACTTCGTCGATACCTGCCCGTTCGTCGAACTGAGGCCGCTGGAGCCTTCCTCGTTGAGGCTTTTGTGGACCGAGGAAGCCGGAAACCTCGAATACACCTTCCGGATACCGGACATATCCAGGACCCCAGGCGTTTGGATCTCCAGCTCCCCGCAGAACGGTAAGAGATAGTGATGGGTTTGATCATCTATATCAGAGGTGGTCAAACCATGGCGCATACATAAAACGTAGCACATTCAATGATTACAAGTGGCGTATTGCATCCTTACGCCAACTTATTCTTTTTAACACATTGCGTACCAGCTACTTTTCAGAAAACTGAATTGTGCGGATGGAAATTTTCAGTGAGATCAACTTATATCGTTGTACATACAAAAACTCAGATATCATATTGTTATGTAATGTATTTTAAATAGATAATCAATTTGAATCAAATTTCATATTTTTCTAAGTACTGTAGTAATTAGCAAAATTGCATAGCTAAGTGTCTTTATATAAAAACGAGATTTCTCGTTACCAGTGCGCAGTGTGTTAAGTGCTTCAATAAATGTGTGCCTTTTGAACTCACGTAAATTAATTTAATTGCGAGATTGAGTTAATCCTTTTCCTCCTCTAAACGAAGCAGATCCTGCTCCTATCACTATGTTCCTATCACAACCGTGAACGTAAGAAGATCGAAGAGGTGCTTGAGTTGTATGACGTATCTGAACTGGTCCGTGAACAAAATTGGCGCATGGTATGCGAAGGTTGGCCAGCTCTGATCTATATGTAGGCATAGATTTTATAAGCGATGTTGCTCGCAAATAGGTTTATTTGAGCACTCAGGTTTCTTAACCCCTTGATGTACTACTTACTTCTACCACTAAGCTCGTGTAATATTTCACTATCGACAATTTGGAAGAAATGCAACAAAATTTTCCATTCTACTTTAAGTGGAAATTTCATTTGAAAATAATACACTGATAATAGCGAAATAGTGTTTGCTTTGATTCGTGGGTAATGAATTATTGGCCGTTGATTAAATTAGTTTAGAAATCTTCATCGCGAGTCTCACTCGTCATTGTACAGCAAGGGGTTAACACATTCAGTGACACGTGTACCGCATATGGTACTCGCCAAATTTTGTAAGAAAATATTTTTCATGGATACAGATAGCGGTATACGTTACAAAACAATGAAAACACAAAAAAACAATATCAAAATACATACAAATTACCAGAAACTTGAATATAACTTAGTATTTTATTTACGAAATCAATAGAGTTCATACGCAAAATATAACCGAAGTTTCCGTGGCACGTGTTAACTACTAATCGTAATACATTTTAATTCTTTAACTCTTTTTACTCTTCGTTACTCTTTAACTCGATAAATATTCCATCTTTCTAACTCGCTGTACTATGCCGCCGAACTTACGATCTGTATTGCTCATATCAGTCGCATCTATGCATACACTCCCACATATACAGGCACACATACGCAGTTATTATATTTGCCGCTGTTTCTTCCTAGCTCTGTCGCTCTTATTCATTCCTAGAGTCAATTGCACGATTATATTCACCTATTGGGCCGATGATCCGTTTCAAAAATCTATCGGTAGCTCTACTGTTTCCTCTGCGTCAGTTCTCAGCTGCCTTCACGCCGTTCGTCACACTAATACTGTTGAGCCGTCACGGCTTAATAGAGTCGACACATGCAGAGACTTAAGCTCTTTACAGCACGGGGCAAAAAACGGCTCTTATTGTTTAATATTTTAACGGCACATCGCGGCAATGCTCATTGGCCTTTTAAAATCAAATTCCAAAACTTTCCTTTCACCCGCATGTGGCAGCCAGCGACGGGTTGTAAATGCATATTTCTGAAGGGCGACCAAATGGTATCTTAAGGACACTCGGTATCTGGGGTTTGCCTGGAAGAAATTTGTATCCAAGCTAAAAACATAGTCTCTGCATGTCTTAGGTAGCACCCCACCCTCATTAGACTAGGCGCGCCAAGGGCGCAGCGACGGTGGAGACAATTCGTTTCTTAAATTTCGGAGCTGACGATCTGACTCGCAGATCGCCAGCGAGACAGACAACTCAAAACTTTCGAACGATACACATCATACAAGCGCGTCTAACGAAGAAGCAAGCGGTCTCATTTAATCAGCTCCAAGTAAGGACGCTGCTGTGAACACCCAACAAATACAAAAACTAAAACGGATTCACTTATCCTACATATAGTTCTCACGAGCTTCAACGCGTTAAACGTGCAGATCGTTTTGCTTCACTTTCCATTTAATCGAAAATAACAGAAACAGGCTGGTCTTTCATTACAGTGTTTCAATAAAGACGTTTTACATAATGCTTCTCGCGTTTCTATCTTCGTTTACAATGCTTCAACTCTTTGACACCCGTGCGTGTAACAGAAATATCTTCTACGCCGTAATTTATCTCGATGGAACATAAATCTCAATACCTATTGATTCTGTCACCTGGTACACGCGATATTTTGATGATACATGTAAACGAATGTAAACTGTTTCATTGCAATAGATGTATTTTTATTACTTTATTCTCTGTACTCAATATGTTTTTTATTTTATTTACGTGCGACACCAACGTGCCCCCGGGTGGCATAATAATGTGGCACTATTCGCGATATTTTTCAGTACATTGTAATACAAACGCCACATCGAACGGTGAAACAATAAGATTTTTTGTTCAACCTAATATTTACGTCCATATCACGGTACGGTTCGGTGAATCTAGGTTAATCGGATCGACGCAAGCAAAAATCTGGACACGGAGTGTGAAGACTGGGGAGGGAAAGGGAACAAAAGAACACGTATATTTGCAATATAGTATTACATATGCCTACTCTGCGCAAGATTAGAGTATTTTCAAGTTTTAGCAAAAAACCATTAAATGTTTCATCGCGTATGTAATTTAATCAAATTATTGCACCTTTCACTAAGCGGGATTAATCACCGTGGTTAACACTTTGACTGTCACGTAAACACTCATTAAAACTCCCATGTACTCGAAACAGTTTTCTTCATTAACAAGAAACGCTGAAGTCAAGATTCTTGTTAATAATTGCTCCACTATCTTCCTTATATCTCATATATCCAACAAAATTCAGTTTGTTCGATACGTCACTAAGAAAATTAATGTCCAAGTTTCTGTGGAAAATAATGTGACCCGAATTCGGCAGTTAACGTGTTAAACATTAACTGTCGGTCACCGTTGACCGACTCTTCTGACTTGCTTGACAAAAAGTACAATATGCAAGATGACTACTGTCGACTAAAAATATTGAATAACACAAATAAGTTAACAATAGTGTAACGTAAGAATTCTGATGCCAAATAATTAACCCTTTACGGTCGAAGACTCTTTGAAATATACAAAACCTTCATCAGATGAAACTAAATTATACAGAAATGCTGATCCCTCTCTGTTTGAGTAATTAAATCATTTATTTGCGACTTAGTCTTCGAAGCATGAAAATTTCATCTCGCCGGCATGTCGACATTCGTCCGCAAAAGGTTAATAATCATTTATAAAACGTTCAAGATTCTCGTGGCGCTGAACGTGTTAATGAATGATCGAATTACCGAAAAATCAGAAGATCCGATCGTTTTAGGTTACCGCGGAGACTGTATTTGTCAGTCGCCTAGCATCGCCGGAAGGTGGTTTCGGTTTAACCGGGTAACGATCGACGAGCCGCGCGAACGATAGTACAATGGGAACTAGACAGAATGGAACTGAAGTTAAGAGGTCGCGATTAAAAGCGATACAGACGAGGAAGGGTACACAACTGATACGAAACTTGCGGCGCGAAGCCTGACATAACAAAGTTTAGGGGGTTAGACGGAAGTTGGTTCCGAGTAAGTCTCGGATTAGTCGTAACTCGTCCGAGTTAGGTTCGAACAAGATCCTGATTAGTCGGAAGTTGTCCTCGGGCGAACCTTGAACCACCGCATACCATTTGACCGTTTATAAAACAGCCGCCTTCCCAAAAAACATTCGAAACGTATCGCGTTACCATGTTTAACTTCACACTCGTTTGATGCTTCCCTTCTTTATCGTCATGTTATTTTTCGCGAAAGCATTCAAATCATTCGACCTCGAAAAGTTAGCGATTTTCGGTTTAGTTTAATTATATGCCAGAATAGTGAATATACTATAAGCTACATAAGCTAAACTCTCTCCATCATCCACGAAGAAAGTAAATATTGTCTAAATACATTTACCTGCAGATGATTCTATATTTCACATTTAAATTACAAAATTATCGCAGCCAATTAGCATAACATAATCCTTCACAGAGAATATTTTGCTCGGGATAATGTTAGTTGCCTAGGTCTCACCGCGTGGAGGTTGCTGCGAGTGGAGACCTCGGGAGGTGGATAGAAACTGAATTCCACCGACCTCCCTTTCTATTTCTAAGTCTTATTATTTACCGCATTTATTACTATCGCACTTAATAATACTCCCACGGCGGTTGTTTTCTTTCTTAAGTCTGTACTGACATGAAAAAAACATAGCAGTAATTAGTAGTATGGGATTAATATAGCATAATTAGTAAATTAAATGATGTATCCCACGGCGGACGATCGACGTCTTCTTTCGCGCGGTTAATTCTAACTTAGTTTAACGAATAACTTAAACTATATAATCATCGCAGTGGTAAAGGGGACGGATCAAAAAAGAAGTCCTTGATTTGAGTGTGAGACGAATCAGAAAAAGAGTCTCTGATTCAACAAGAGCAAAATGAGGGGATACAAGCTTAATTCTAACTTAGTTTAGCCTTATAAAAATATACACTGGCCGCAGTATGCCAAGAAGCAAAGGGAAGATGTCCTTGATTCGGTAATGTGAGAAATCAGAAATAAGAGAACTAAAACCTGTTGTTTTTACGGATGCGATAGTTCTAGTATTAACACGTTCGCTACCAGCGTTTGTTTCAGTGGCAATATTCTCAATTATATTTTATTAGATTCAATGAATCTAAACAAACTGTTGAAACAAATGAAGCTAAAACGAGTCATTGAATCCCTAAATGCAATTTCGTAGCTTGGAACTTTAACTAACTATATCTATAGGATTAATTTAAATAAAGGATAGATTTGGCAATGTAGGAAGTCGTCAGCAAGGAAAATTTGTAAATCGTCATCGAGAGAGAGGCCCCTCTATTTTCTCGCATACGACAGTCTGCTGGGTCGAACGATCAAACAAAGATTAGTTACACGAAAACATCTAATTCGCTTTTTTCTCACTACACTTTCCTTCTCCCTTTTAAGCTTCTATTCGTCTTCGCTGTGTAATAAACAGACGGTAAACATTACGAGAATATAGTTTATACGGCACAGTTAAGTTCGGCCACAGACTGTGTCGACCCTTTATATCCTGAAGGCGCTATAAAGTACCACTGGCATTAAAACACCGTTACGAACCAAGTATACTAAGATTTCTAATTAGAATTTAAAGTACCCGAATTCAAAGTACACGTGTCGACACACGTGCTATTCGAACAGTTCCGAAGTGTCTCGAGTAAAGACAGCAGTAAAAAGGAAGAATTAAAGTATAACAAATTACGGTAAGATTACAAAGTGCAAGTTCTATTCAACTTGATTCTACGTACTAGAACTATACATTTTTATATAGAACATTAAATTTTCTACAATGCATCGATAGGTGAACTATGCAAATAAAATAGCTCCGTTCCTTCATTTACGTATGTTTTCTAATTAGACCGTTTCAGAGAACCCCTCCTATATCTCGTCAGAAAATGTTGACCGTTCCCAGTGAAAAACGTTCGAGAATGAAGCACTTGAAACAACAGAATGATTAAAAGTCCAAGCAAACGAGCGACAAGAAAACTTAATCCCACCGGTGATCATTCTTCCCGGAGAGTCTCGCAACATTCGAGAAGCCGCCGGAGTTCCCGGTGGCTGGGAATAGAAGGAGCCGGAGGTTGAATTAGTAGACTCCGTCGAACGATGATCGTCGTCTGGGAGTCGTTTCCGTGGAGGTTGCCGTAAACGACCGCGTTATAAACGGTTAATTAACCGACCAGCCCGAACAAAGTGGGAACAAGTCCCGGGTAATTAAAGTCGTAAGATGGCCCCGAGAACGATCTTAATGAATTCTAGGTATCCGGCGTGATTATCGGTTAACTGTCAGTCCGACGTCGAACTCGTCCCATCCAATTACGGAGCCGGAGCTAGCAGGAAACGGGAACGAGAACGGAAACGGAAAGCTGGGAAAATCCACGGGGAACCGACAACGCGGCCGACGAGGCGGAAAATAATTTTTCAAAAGCTCTGCGCCCGTTCCCGCTTTTTTAATCCCGCGACCCCATTCTTCTGGCCGGATGCCGCGAATGCCCCGCACAATGCGTCACAGATCGAGATCCCTCGAAGCTCCTTTCAAGCTCGTTCCTTTTTCTGTTCGGCCCGAGCCGAACGCGAACGAATTCGTGCCCTCGAATCACGTTCGTTCGCGCGCTCCTCGAAGTAGCTGAGACCGCGGAGACGAGTTGTCTGACGAGTTCGAGGCAGAAGGTGCGACGGAGTCCCGTTTAACTCTCTGTAAGCCTATGTAACTTTGAAGTCACATATCAGTATGTTGGCATCTTGTTGATTTATTTCGTTGTGCACTCGAAGTGGTGAATAGAATTGAGTAATCAGTTAACTTAAACTTTTATACTGTCAGGCGTGAAAGTTTAACGCCGTTGTAATTTGAAAGATAGAAAATATATTCGTTTGATGAAAGTATTGAAACTATTGAATACATTGTTAATTCGTATTTATATATGGATTTTTATTAATTTTTTACTGCATAGGTTTTGTTATAATCATGGAAAAAAATTCGGCTCATAGAGGGTTAACATTAGGTTTACTGACATTTCTTATATACCTATTTCTACCGATGCGGACAAATTTCACCTATCAACAAAATCACACATTTTCTTTAGGAAACAACTTATCATAACTATACACAATGATCTTATTAACGCGTTCGTTACCAGCGTCAGATATTTGTGACAGGCGCAATCTTATATTTTACATAAAGCAAATGAAATTAATCTTATGGATATTGTTATTTAAGGTTATAAGCTACGGCATTATATTTAGGAACTCAATAACTTGTTCCAGTTTAATTTTTCTAATATTTTGTTTAGAAGATTTATTGGACTGAAGAAAATATTATAATCCAGGAGACCGCCACCAAAATAAGCGCTGGTAGCGAACCTGTTAATGAAACTATGAGATATATGGATAAAAGCTGGTACAAGTGACAGGAAAAGAATGTAAACGGTTTCTGTAATTCCCTCGCGAAGTTCGAAATAGGTCAAAATGACCCGCCCGGTTGAAGCTAATTTAAAACTTGATTTACGGAACCCGTCAATTTGATGGATATTCAAATTTTTAAACATTATTTAGTAATAATTTAAATCAATTTTCATTCGTGTAATTATGCGAATACGCGTTGCAATACTCTAATTTTGAAGCTACAATTTTCGCGATTTATGTAAACGAACACGCAGTTTTCTAGGAACAATAGAACAAAATGTAGAATAAACGTCCGAAAATCTACTGTTAAACCTAGTGTTAATCACGAGCCCCGCGTTCTCTGAAATGGCGAGTATTACCGAGAAAAAGGAAAGGAAGCGTGCACGGAAACGGTAAACGAGGTATACGGCGATAACGATCCAATTAGCATCATGTCGATCAATATCTGTCGATATTTTACTTCTGTAAGGATGGTCGAAAACAATGTATGTATTTTTTTAGAAATACACATACATCGCGCGTTATGGATCCGCTGTTGAAACATAACTGAAGTAATTCGTGTCGCCGTATCTCGAACCGCGCGGCGAAACTTCCTGTGAGTTATCTTCCAATGATGGATAGGTACTTACAATCTCGGTTTCTAGCCATTGTTGCCATCGATTGAACCGCGCAACGAAGAAGTCCCTATCGATTCCTTATCTCGTTGGTATCTCGCTTCGTCGCAGTCCGTTTCGTTCGTTTTTCGTTACGCGATTCAACCAATAACAAACTTCGAGCATCGTGAGTGGAGAATTTCTCTTGTGCCTACGTGCCTTTAGCTTGAACGTATCTGAACAGCCGCGACAGACCAACCGTGCCTCCGAAAGTAAAACTCCAGTGTTGTTGCCCGAAAACGGCCGTGTTCTGCGCAAAACTCAATAACTTGAAAATTATGGGTAATACAAAGAAGTGCTTCAGACAAGTAAGACATAGAGCTAAACATATAGTGATTATATTTTTGTTGGATTACGGGGATTTTATGAAGTTTGTTCAACGACGATGGATATTTTGCGATACAAACGTTATATAAATAGAGAAGCGGAATGTATTTAGACAAAATTTGGATTTTCCATATGACAATCATCTTGTACAGCAAACTATCTTAGCAACACATTGGTAATTTCGTTATACGAGTAGTCGAATTTTCTGGTTTTACCCACAGGCGGCCACACTGTGGGCACTCAACACCGTCCACATTGCGAAGAACCGCGATAGAAAAATCTGCGAAACCCGTGGCTGCCGTGCCGACAAAGGCGAATCCGTTCGCTACTCGATCTTCAACGCTATTACGCAACCAACTAACGCACCGCGATCGATTCTTTTAATAGCCTCGTTATTTGTTCCCCGCGAGCACGTGCCGTTTCAATTGGAGCGCGGCAACAAAGCAGAGCGAAAAGACAAATTACAGGCCGAACATCATCCGGAACGGATAAAAAAGAAGGAAGTGAACGGAACACAGTCGGCAAACCGTGCGCCGATCGCGTTGTACCTCGGGAACGCGAAAACACTGCCCTTTGATCAGTATTTCGCGCGTTCGCGTGAAGCGAGCACGATTAATTTCATGCGATTAAACGTCAATATCGGCCAGCCAGCGGCCATTTACACAGCGGAACGATTTAATGGGCGCCGTTGTAATATTGCATCGGCACGGTATCATCGCCGTTATTGCAATCGGTACGCACCGACCATGTCACATTCATTCCGCGAACATGCAGCGGCGGCCTCGCGATCACGGCACGCGTCTTTCCCCCGTTGCGCGTGCTGACGGTTTCACGACCGAAGAGACGGCGCTGGGCCGCTGCGCGGCTGACGTATATCCATAATTCCGTCTCCGTGTATTCCTAATCACCGGCGTAAGTACATCGTCAACGACATAATGGCGCGTAATGCGACAGGATTTCCAGCGGGAGACACGCCGCCGTTCCCAGCTTCCCCGTACACAATAATCAGACCCCCGATTCGCTGATTTCCGCCGATGATTCCTCTGAATCGCGATTCCAAATTGTCTTTGTTAGGACAGCTTACCGGCGGAACAGCCGTGGGCAGATTGAAATTCCCCGGGGGAGTTCGCCTTTCGCGATACCTCTATCGCAACGGACTCGTGACGAAAATTTTGAGTGTAATTCCACCGTGACAAACGTCGTTCGATTCTTTTGTGTTCCAACGAAATACTTTTCACTTATCGTTTGCTGATCTTCGTAGCAAACGTGCACGCGAAACGAGAGATTCTTTCTTAGTTTTCTTCTCTGCAATAGTTTTAACGATTGAAACTACGAGAAGAATCGTGGTAAGTTAACACATTGACCGCCGGCCCCGCGATAATGCGGGATTTTTAGTCTATTTTAATTGCTAATCCTACGTTAATGTAACATTTTAGATATGTATAATATAAGTCCAAAGTAAAATTACTAAATCGAATTCCTTATTCCTTTTCGTAAGTTCGAAATTTCGGTTTGATTGCTGTTTAAAAAGGTATCAATATAATCACCGACGCTGACGTTTCTAATAGCTGAGGTTTAGCCGGCGTACAATGCGTTAACATTGCATCACAGTTGAAACATGAAAGTTTCTTTCGGAGAAGTCGGTAAACGTTACGTGCCCTAGTACACTAGACTTCCGTGTAATGCAGTTATTAGGAGTAAAAATACTGAAACGTCGATAATGAAAATTCAACCAGAATTCCTAAATCTTTGTTTCGCAAATAAGTCTCCTCTGCAACCATGGATCTTTGTTTTTTGAATAAGTCTCCTCTGCAACCAGATCCGTTCAAGCGTTAAATCAATGGTATCGTTGACAGGAACACTGGCGAGCGCGTGGGACAAGCAGTACCACCAATTCAGCGGGAGCGTGAACGTGATGAAAGCCGTGGCTTCGGACATGGTGCTGACTTTCTGCTCGGGCCAGCCGGACAATCAGCTCTATTCGTTGCTGCTCGCGCGGGAGCGTGTTCTGCAACGCAGCGACATACGTGGCGTCCACAACCTCCTCGGCCGCCGTGGCTTGAACGTCGTCAGCGTCCGGATGACCTGCTGGCAGAATGGTGCACGGAGATGGTCGTCTTTCGACCTGACCGGTTGGGTGGCTTTGATAGGTGTCTTGTCCACGAGCGTTCGGTTCGGCACGTGGTAGTCGAAATCTTAAACGGTTCTCGAGGCTTCGAGGATGTCCAAGCGGGTCTTTCGCGGGCGAGAGCTGCGTCCGGGGTCTACGAGCCATGAAGAAGGCCGAAGTTCATCGTCGAGCGAGACGTTTCGAACGGATCGAATCGAGTAGGGTTCACGCGGTAGTCAATGTTTCTCACATATTTCTTCATCGATACTTTCACTCTTAACCAGGTAACCGTGCTCGGCGAGTATACCCGTCATGTAATAGTAATTCGTTCAACAATTATCTATTTGTACCAATAAACATGTAATTCTTGTTTATTTCGCTTCAGTTTTCTATCTTAATCTATATTAAATACACACGTGTGACGCGTATACTCGTCGCTGTTCGATTCCATTGCACAAGTGAAATTCCACGGTTAACTGGTTACGGAGCGAAGCGTACGCGGCTCTCTCGGCTCGTAGAAAAATCGGTTTGGGCATGCTTCCGTCAAAGGAGGATCGTTAGCTGGGTAAATCTGCTTTCCCGATAGAACAATGATCGTTGGGCGGAATTGTCGTTTCTTTCTGGAATAAAAGTCGGTTGAAAGACCGACGTTGTAACGTTAACGCGAGTCTCGATGTTCAAGAAGAGAAGAGAGAAAGAACGAGAAAGAGCGGCGACTTCCGCTACAGGAAAAATGCTACAGGAAGCATCTCTTACGAAAGGAAGAACTCGTTTAACGACGCGGCCGGTGCCAGGACTCCCGGGTCCTCTTTTGATCGCGGAAGAAAGCTCTTAATTGCCGACGCAGCTAACGATCCCACGTCTGGTGTCCGATCCACGAGTCCCGGCGCAATCGTAATAGGAATCTCCGTTCGGTTGTCCGACGAACGGACGGGGAAGCGCCATGCCAGCGACGAGTCCGCTGGCTCCCTCGTCGTTCGAAGCCACGGGGAAAGAGAACACGAAGATCCGAGCGCGGACTGCTCGCCGCGGATTCCTGTTTCGCGGAATAATGCCGTTCTACCGGGACCGATTCCGTTGGACAATGTATGCTGTTTCGTTTCGTTTCGTCTCGTTTCGTTTCGTCGGGAGTCACGTAGATCTCCCGCTGTCCCAGTTCTTTCTATTGCCGTTATCGCGATACTTTTTTCCCTCTTCGTCGGAACGGTCCCTCGAGTTTCCTCGAGTTCACTCGACTGAACACAGACGGACTCGGAGCTCGACTAACCGCGTATATATGTAAGCACGTGTGTATGTAATAGTCGCGTGTCGTCTCTTTCGGTCGTCCATTCTCGAACAATTTAAACACGTTCCGAACGCGATTCGATGATTTTAACCCGTTCACCGAATAGACATCGATGACACCTCGGTTTCTTGCTGGTTCGGCACTAGAACTACTGGACCAGTCGGAATGATCTATTTAATCATTCTCGTTTGGCAATTATTAAATCCGCGCAGGTGTTTTTGCGAGGAATTAGGAAATAAATTCGTGTTTGAGATACAAGGGATTTTTGTAAGTGTTCAGAAATGAGTCATTCTAGTTGCTGAGTAGTAGTTCTAGTGTTAACTTTCACGAACAATCGCGACACGTTTGTTCGCGTCAAGCCGCGTCGCGCCAATTTTCACCAGATTTCGCGAGTTTTCTTTTCACCGTTGAACGCCGACGCTTCTCTTTCGTTCAACGATCCTGCGGTCGGAGAACGAGAACACTACCGTCGTGGAACGACACACATATCAGCACGACGATTACCGCTGCCCGTGGAAAGGGGAAAGTTCAGAGGAGAGGAGCGGAAAACACGAGAGAACGCGTGCGGCGTCGGTTGAACGTCGCAGCGGCTCTGAAAGAAGTTGATCTACATCGTTCTTCCAGCGAACGATGATCCTCGTTCGGAAGCAACGAGCCTCCTGCGAACGTTAGTCGCGTTAGATAGAAGTGTATGTTGTATGTATCTCGGTTCATGGATTTAACACTGGAACTACCGAGCAGTCGCGTCGAACTCTTTCGATTTTTTTACTGAAACTCGGAGACCGAGTTTAGGGTAAGTCGGGGAGAAATGGCCTAGTTTTCTTGAAAGATATAATAACACTGATATTATGTAAATATCATTGATACCGAATGAAAAGAGATACATTTATAAAAGCAAATACACATTAGAAGAATAGTGCAACAGACCTCTGTGGAAGATTCAACGTGTCACTGGAAATAATTGAAAATATAGATATTTGACGATTTAAAGAACATCAAGCCATCCTCGAATTACTCTATCGTGATCACAATTGATTTCTGACTCAGTTTGCGTATTGTCGAATCTATTTCTTTACGGATTTCTCAGAGAAGTAACTGTTCTATCTTCAGTAATTACAGTTTGATATTTGACTCATCTCGTAGTTCTAGTGTTAACACTTTATCTACCGCTCGTGACCAAGACGACCATTTACTAACGACTCCTACGGTTTTCGCCATTACGTAGGAATGTGTGTTTCTACTTGTAAAGCTCTCTGTAGCTTTAGAATTGAAGTACGAGTGAATCTCATTGTGCCGTTCCGATTTATTTTGTTCTAACGAAGCGCAGTTTTAATAGGTTACCCATTGTTAAGCATTCGCGATCGAGAAGATTAATATTCCGGTAGATAAAGTGTTAAGAAGACAATAGCGGCGTCGAGACGATTCATCTATGGAGATCGATAAGTAGCAGATTATAAAGATTCGTCTTACCAGACTAGTCGAAGAACGCGCGGGGAACGTTTCTCAAAGAGATACGAGGCGATTCGTTCGATGTAGCGTTCCCTCCGCGCGCGAATTCGAAAGCTAGAAGAAGACAGGATTGATCGCGAGACGATCGATCCTCGAAATTCAACGTAACAGGGAACGAACGCACTCTAATGTTCGTGTTCTGTCGTCTCGAATCGATGAAACTGGAAGAAAAGTGTTTGTATCGAGCGATAATCCCGTCGTGATCTATCCTGTACGTCTTTCTTCTGTCTCCAGCTCGTTTAGGGTAAGAAAGTTTCGAATTTCACTAACACGGATGGATCGCAGCAACGAATTCGCTGATTCGATCAATGTTCGCTGTGAATCGGGAAGGAATACACGCGGACGTACGTTCAAATAGTGAAATAAGATATTTATCCGGTAAATAACTTTGTCATCCCTTTGTTGTATATTTTCTTCGATAACAGCACTCGTTAGATCTGTTTTATCGTTCATAATTCACTAGAATGAAAGAAGAGTTCAATGCTCATCTGTTTACATACAAAATAATTCTAAATTTTATTGACTAAAATATGTAAATAGAAGAAGACTCAATGACTAAAAATGGAAGGTATATTCTAAACCTAGTGTTTAATCTTTGTATAATTTACAGTGTAAAGTATAAGCTTCAAATTAGAATTCAACATATTGATCAATCAATAATAGTAACATTCAGTTTCAACTGAATATCATGCATTTCCATTTGTTAATTTCCATTCAAAATTTCTATCGAACGCTGAAACACGCGGCTGCTTCCGATTTGCTGTTATCGACGCAAAGATGTTGATCAAAATCGGTGCGTCGCTGCGATCTCTGCGCGTAAATTACAATTATAGCAGGAACTCTGAATTGAATGCTTGACGGGTTAAGGGGGAAAGAACAGGCGTTGTACGATTGTAAGATAATTCAACTTACTGTTAGATGTTATTCGCGTCGCTCGGTGGAGCTGAGAGCTCTCCCCGAGTCTGCGCAACGTTTAGGCCAAATGTGCACGAGCGGTTTGCAGCGGAACGTTACAGCCGTGATTCTTTTGAACAAATGGAGACACAAATTTCCTTTAGACTCAAACATCAAATATCTTTTAGTTGTGTATCTCTTCGAACTCCATGGGTACACGCATGCGTCTAGCGGAAACTATCAGTGTAAATTACAAACGCACACACGTGTTTTTCGATTTGTTTCATCTCACACATGCTGTAGTGATAATTATAAGTGTATAAAATGAACGAAAATTTCTTAATACCATTTAATTTGAAACTAAGAAATTACAATTACAACTTACTCATGTATGTTGTATATCGATTAACATATTTGATCGATCTACATACACGTTAACACTAACTGTACCGGGAACAAATGACCAGGTTTAAAATTCTCCGTTTTCTTTTGTTCATTTAATTTTATGTCAATTCCTATATTGTCCGATTAATTGGTCTTTCAATTTTCATCCTTCCTTTTGTTTCTGTTTCCACTAAAAAGAATTTATCTGATTTGTTTATCTCTATTCCGTAGCCAATTGTTTGACTAGTTAGGAAAAGTGTCAGTATGGTTAATGTTAAACAAACGAATATTCTCTCCACGCGAAACGTTTCGACCGAGAGTATTCAGCACTCAAAAGGTTACAATCCGCATTTTCAGACTATGAGACTCCGTTCGGTCTTGCTCTATCTTTGTTCGTCAAAGACAAAAGATAAGGAAAGAATTTTGGGTGGACCAACAGTGTGTTTTTGGTATTATCCTTTTTGCAAGATAGAAGGATTTTGTTTCTCCGTTACTCTAGAAGAATCGCCGCTGCGAGACTTAGTCGCTGACCGCCCCTGTGCATTTGGCGTTAATCGAATCGAGTAGCCGTGTCGTTGATTCAAATCGCACTCGCTTTCTAAATGGGACTTCACGCCGCTGAACGTATTCCTTGTACGAACATACACGAAATTCGATCGTCAAACCTTTTCATCATGCTTGCCCCGTTTTTACCCGACACAATTCTATTTCGCTACGTGTTAACGCACCACCTGTGGGCGCGACGAGAGACGACTGCCCATTAGAGAAATTAGACGATGCAGTTCGGATTGCCGGTGCAAGGAAGCTGGCGTTCTCCGATCGTCGATCGTTTAACCCCTTGCATTCCATAGTTTCTCACTATAAATACTCATCGTTTTCTAATGGAATATCGACATTTTTTACAAGTAAAGACAAATCGCATATAAATTAAGGAACGGGGCTATGTTATTCCGATGTTTCCTGTATCAATATATTATAGGATATTTGACGTTCAGTCTCAGACTTTAGAGTTTCGCAAAGGGTTAAATCTTGGTTGACGCTGGAGCAACCTGTTTGTAACTGGAATTTCTCTGAAAGCTTTTGACCAGCGTGAATTCACGTTTAGAATTACTTCTGTCGGGTTCAACAGGAAGAGATCGATCCGTCTCGAGGGGATAAATTCGAGCATTGATCTAAGAAAAAGACGACTAGAGATCCGAGAAAATCGGCACGCCGTCGTTTGTGAAGTTTTCAGAAACTCCGATCTTCTGGAAGTGAAATTCACCGAGTAGCGAAGGTGAAGGATCGAGATCTGGAGCTGCACGGCCCACAGGTGGTATGGTAAAATTTTTTATCGCGCGTTGCGTATCTCGTCGATATCTACGAAGGCGTTCGAACGTGCCGTGAGTCATTCGACGCATCGAAAACCCGCGGCTTCTTGTGCCGATGCGATTATCCGACGGAAACGAGCGGGGAAAATGTTAGGATTCGTTTGAAAGATTCGATGAAAGAGAGAGCCCGTGTCCTGTATATATATCCTCGGATCGAACTGCCTGTGCGCGATCACGGCATCGACGAGTGTTTTTGGGGATGACGATACACATATGGGAAACTCGTTAAATTATTGTACACTCGACGGCAATCGCGAGAGGGTACGCCATGTTATGTTTAAAATGCTCTAGAGTCTTTATTTATTGTATAGATTGCTCGATATATATATATAAATATAAATTTAAATATAAATATAAATATAATGATCTAGTACCTAATGATACGATGTAATCGTATGCTTATTATGTGTATAAATATGAAACAATAAAGAACGACTTGGACGGTTTCCAGGGATCTTCCTACTAACATCATCGATCCTAGTACTTTAGATTCTTTCTCGATTAAAAGGTGAATAGACGGGAATCCAAAACGTGTACAAAAAATGGATGGAAAGCTAACAGAAAGAAACATAACCGCTGCTCGGGTTTTTTTAGTCGTCGCGCGAACGATCGCATAAAGCAGCCAGCCAACGAAAAAGAAAAGAGCAACGGAATCGTATTAGCATGTGAACCATGAATACTAAAAAGCTCTCGGAGAATAAAGGGGTGGGAAGCTGGCAGCGTTACGAGGCACGGTGAGCCTATTCCTCCGACGAAACAGGTAACCGCAGGTGCCGGTAAGCTAACGTTCGAATTAGATAATTGGCAGGGAGGGTACAAACTATCCAGGAAGACCGATAATTAAGGTCAATTTCGCAATCAACCCTGGGTACACCTCCGCCACGCAAACGCCCACAAACATTTGTCCGCTTTACTTCCGAACTCCGTCATCTTGATCGAGTTTTCAATCATCGATCGACTGAATCTGTGAAACTCTGAACCTCAGCAGGACTGTCAATTAATTAATCCTCCAGCCTGCAGCGTATAATCTATAAGATTCTTCCTAGCGGTAACTCTCTTTGATTACACCGAAAATCGCCATCCACACAATTCAGTTTTCTGGAAATTGGCTAACACGTGATGTTAGAACAAGCGAAATCTTTCTCCATTGGACAAATCTACGATCACATATGATGCATCAACGAATATACTCTCAAGAAGCTCTCAAGAAGACCGTCGGGAAAAATTGAGCACGCAGCTTAGCATTTTCAGGCTCATTCCGAGTCTACAATTATCCTTTATCAAATCGTCGCGAGCTAAAACGGGCCGTCGAAAAATCACGAGCACTTCCACCACACGGAATCCAAAGAAAACAGCAGGGGGATCTCATCGAAAATACAATTCCCCGGTGGATTCCGCGAAAGAGAAAATAGATTAGAAAGCGCGCCGCTTCACTCCGTGGCTCCGAAGGAAGCCCCGTTTCGCTCGCGCAGTCTCCCATCCCTGATCGCCGTCCCTTTCATTTCCATCTCGAGCGCGCCCCGCCCGGTTCCGGCAGTTCCTTCGGATATCTGGCCGTCTCATCCGGCAGTCGTCTTCGGGTATTCTTCTGCTGGTTCGCCGTCTCCCCTTCCCGACGCGATTTTCCTTAACAATTTCTCCTCCCCGGCGTGGCATAAGCCGCCGCGGCGGTCAAAGGGATCAGGCACAAAGGACCGTCGCGCATCGCGGCGGCGACGGAGCGCGGTCGAAAAGTTTCCAGCTGAATTTCGCGTCGACGGACCGGAAACGCCATCCGCAGCATCCCGACGCGACACCAAACGCCGGCCGACGTAATCCGTTTAAGAGAAAGCTCGTGAAGTTGCGGCTAACGTCCGGCGTGACCCGCGTCGGTCATCCGTCCCGTTATTTCATCCCGGAGAAATTTTGCGTCGCGCTAATGAAAAAACTGCTCGATACCGGGGAAAATTTTCTACTGAATAGCGTCGTTGACTAGGAAATTCTAGAAGTGGAGTGTATTTTTATAGGGGTTACGATTTTGCACACTTTGGTCAAGAATAAATGTAAGACTGGCTGACGTAGGAAGAATGGATGGTGTATATTGATTATTCAGATGCGAAAGCTTGGAGTGTTTCGTCGAGACTAACTTTTGCTAGACGACGGAAGATGAGATTGGTAGCGGAAATATGAAATTTCGCTGTAGGTGCGTTGCAAACTGAATTTCTTTGTTGAATCGAGAATTACGTATCGTGTTAATATTAGGACTACCGAGTTCTTAAACTTCTGAACATTTCTTTAGAAGAACTACAAGCGTGGATTTATTAAGACTTTGTCCGACATTTAAACTTTCAGCTTATATGCTACATAATCAGTTTCTTTAATCATTTCTCAAATAGCATCTACACCTTAACAGTAAAAGAAGAAATTAGGAATGGATCGTACCGATCCATCTGGTAGCTCTAATGTTAATATTCATTAACACTAAACCTACCGAGCAGTTAAACTTTTTCAAATTCCTCTGTAGCAACTTCAAGAGTACATCTATCCAGACTTTGATTTCTAATTCAGTTCGCGTATTGCTAGATCTATTTCTTCTATAATTTCTCAAAGAAATATCTGTTATCTATATAATAATTAAAAAAAAAGGAAATCAGAAATAAATCATTTTGACCCGTAGATTCAATGTTAAGCAAGCTTTACAATCTTCCATGCTAGAAAATACTTCGGAAAGTCTACGTAACTTGCTAAATGCCTAAAACAACTCCAACAAACATTCCACGCTCCATTCAAGCATGACTCAAGAACGTCTACGTGCTGCGGCGTCCGACTTCCTGCCCGGAATCGGTCGATTCATCGTCGCTGGCCATTAACTAATTTATTAATTCGTTTATTTGTTCCGGCCGACCGAGCGGAAAGGTCGCGTTGCGAAAAGCTGGACGCGTGTAATCCCGCGAACACCCACGGTACAATTAAACCGGTAATTCCCATTGATGGGGTTAATCGGCGTGTTGTTTCGGAAAGTCGATCGGCCGGCGACGCGTCCGGGGCCGTTTGTCATTGTCGGATGACGAGGGGCTCGGATCGCCCGTAACCCAGTGAATATCAAGTGCTTTCGCAGTAACACGGCCCGATAATACTCGGCCGGGTAATATTTCTTCCGGCGACGTTCGTTTCGTCGTCGCTGTCCCGCCTCGCGGAACGTACGACGCTGGATTATAAACGTTGCCCCGATTAATAGCTCCGTTAATCGTTCCGTCGAACAATGCGATTGGCTGCGCATTTGCGGCTCCGAGCGGCGCAATGAATCTTTTCGAATGGGACTCGGATAATGCGTCTGTTCATTACCGGCCTGTTCCACTTATCGCGATCGGACTTGTACGCGAACGACCTTTAAGCTCTTCGAAGCTGAATGACGACTTTAGTGTCTGGCTGGTTGTGTACCACACGAGTGAAAGTGATATGAGTTTAATGGAATATAAAAGGATGCAGATTAGTAGTCTTATCGTATCATCTCAGCAAGTAGTAAATGGATATAAGGAAACCTGCGACTGGGAATAAAGAAATTACTTCGATTTCAAGTTACTTTTATATTCTATTTATACGAAGAACATTAGTATAAATGTTTCACGTTCACTTGAGTTTTCAATAATAAAAACAGTTCAGAGGCGAATCATATTTAATGCTTGATTAATATAAAGCGGTTCAGAGGCTAAACAGGGTCTCGCTGTGTTTGGAAAAATAATGAAGATAAGTTCGCCAAACTTCCAGAAGGAGAGTGAATGTTTTTGAGGGCAGGAATGCATTCCTACGCGTCGATCGCTCGCGCGTCTCCTATTCGAGAACGTTGTGTGAGCTCCTGAGTTCGTGGAGAGGATCAGAAGTAGGCAACGAGCAGGGAATTACTAACAGTGAAAAGAACGGGTACACATGACGCGAGAGAGGGTAGAATGGGAGAAGAAGCGTCGTCGCAGAGTTTGCCGTTGAAACAGCGCGCCACGGCTTTACGGTGCACACGTTCGAGGAATAAGAATTAGTTTCAATTACCGGCGGCATTCTGCACGCGTCCACTTACATAAACTTTGTCTCCGTAAACTATCCGGGTCGTCGAGCTCGTTGCGCGTGAAGTTACGTTGTTTCCGGGCGAGTTTGATGGCGAACGAATCGGCCCGAGTGGCGTCAGTAGCAGAGGCGTACTTTAGTCAGACACCGGCGACCGATATCACGCGGATAGCAGAATTGCGATGCAGAAGAATGCGATTCGAACGAAAAAATTCAGTTATAATGTACACGATGACGATGATCACCGATACTGATCAGCGATTTTCAATTGCTTGAAAACAATTACAACGTGTACGATGATCGAAGTCGATTAAAAGTGTCGTAAGTAACTAGACAACGATGTATCATACGAATCGTGATATCAAATAATTAATAACTGTTCCTATTTTTCACGGTAATTAACACTAAAATTACTAGACGGGTCAGAATGACCCATTCCTCATTTCTTCATTTCACAATTGTTAAAGAGATAACAGATGTTTCTCTGTAAAATGATTAGACATTGAGAAATACGGAAACTAAATTATAAATCAAAGTCTCGATGGATGCATTCCTGGAGTTTCTATACGGGAATTTCGAAAAGTCTATTTAGCGCCGTAGTTTTAGTATTAACAATTCCTCGAATTTATCTGGATAATTAATGATCACTTCTATTCGGGTACAAAAGAAACGATACACAATACCGTCAAGATTCTCGCGCTAGTCAAATCAATTTCCACCGGGGAACCTCACGAGACGCAAGCTTCAAGATGAATCTCCCGCATAATCTTGAGAGGTAACTTTGATACTCTTTGACGGGATCAATTTTTCGAGCTCTCCCTCTGTCCCTTCACAGTTTCATCGCATCAAGTGCACAATAATGCATAATGCACGGCCCCCGGATAGGCGGCGTTAACGAGGAATTTAAAGTTACCGATCGAATTTAAACTTTGCACGACCGTAACTTCAAGCACGAAAATTTTATGCTTGAGTGCGCACTCGACACACGTCGCCCTGTACTCACCAGGAGCTGCTTTGCATACACGCTGCGCGCCATTACGAGTTTTGCAGACGAAATTTTATTCTTCGCGCGTGTCGGTCCAAACGGCCGCCGCCTCAAGTCGGCACCATAAAGCGCGTCTCGTCAACCGGAAACTTGTTAAAACGCGTACGCGCGAATCACTTGGCAACGAGCCGTTTCCACGACCGTGGAAATCCGCGGAACACTCGACCGTAGTCGAATTTCCGTGGCTTCCGGGATTCAGAAACTCGCGGACGCCAGCCACCGTCGCGACGCTGTTGCGCAGTTTCCCCTTCAATTAGCTTGTTCGGTTAGTGTCACTGAATACGGAGCCACTCCGAAAATATTAGGTTTCGTCATTAGACCGAGAACAATCGGCGAGAGGTCG